ATTTCCCCCCCCGTTCCACGTGGTCCGCGGCTGTTTTTCCGCCCTGCCGCGTGGTCAGCGGGCGTTTTTCCGCCCCTGACCGGATTAACGGTAATTACACTGAACCTTATGGGAAAATTTACTTCGACTTGCGACCAACTCGACTTGCGATCAGAGTCACAGAACGGATTAAGTTCGTAAGTAGAGGTACCACTGTATATTCATATGCTATAGCTCTTTTTGGAAAGAGGAAGGAAGAGGATTTGGTCCTCCTAGATTCATCCTACAAAATCTGGCTGATTTGGACCTACAAAGTACCTCAGATTCATATTCCAGAGAGCTGTTCCTAGTTCAGTCGTTCTGACAGCGGATCATTGAAGACCATCATCCCGTGACTTCTGAAGGCAGAATTGTGGAAGCAATCCTTTTCAAGATGGCTAGCAAGTAGCCAGGTGAGACATCTGCCTTTACTAAATTTTTCCTATAGTGTGAATAGGGGTTGGACAGGAGAGATTTGATGCTGCCCAAATCCTGCTGGATGCTCCTTACTGGCTCAGTAAAATCAACAGGTGCCTTTTTGTCAGTATTCAGGGGTTCCTTGATTTATTTTATTTATTTATTTCACTTTATTGGCCACCCTTCTCCAATAGACTCATCTATTCAAGTCTTCAGAGGAAGACTTCAATAGATCTGAATCTTTCCATCTAAACAGGCTATCAGCTTGGTGCCTGTACACAAAGATACTGTAAAGTATAAGTCGAACCAGAGACTAAAAAGAGCTGTGTTTGAGCTCTGCAATGTATCAGGACAAGCAAAGGGACTTCCTCTTTCCCAGCAATTTCATAGGATGCGGTGGGTTTTAGCTGCCATTTGAAAATTAGAACAGGAGAACAACCCGATTGTTGAATTAGGCCCAGGGAGTGCCAGGTTCAAGTCCACATTCACATGGAACTTCTCACTCCAGGGCTGGTTGCTCTCTCCTTCAGCCCAGTCTATCTCTCAGGGTAGTTGTTGATACAGGGATAAAAATGGGAGAAGTCAGTACTATGTACACTGCCTTGTGCCGGAGGAAAAGCAGAATATATGAAGTCATGTGTTTGCTCAACTGATTGCGCTGCTCATCACCAGTGTCAACATATGCTACAGCCCATACTAGACAGTGACACTGCACCTTCTCAGCACCAGACAGCAGGCCCATACTTGCACATGGACCAGCCTGAAGCAGAGTTTCACAAGCAACAAAAGCAATGATGCTAACATGAGAATCAGATCCTATAACAAACTCAGATATCTGACTGGCCCCCACATTACATAGACCCCAACAACATCACACACAGAGCGACCTTCAGTTACTTCTGGCTTTTACCGAGAACAAACAGGCCACGCTTTGCCCCAGAAAATTAATGGACACAAGTTTGATGTCACAACTCTAAACAAGGACAACCAGAACATTTAACCTTCTAGGACATTCCATTATAGAACTCAAAATAGCTGTTTTGGAATAAAGACACTACTCCAGCACAACTGAATGTGAGACAGCTGAGCTAAGGTATAGCAAAAGGTTTCAGGCTATCTCTGAAGGTCCCAGACTCCTGACTTTTGGCTACTGTAGACTAACACAGTTCTCCTCCTATAATCTCTGCTCTACTCGTACCCTACAAAATATCAAAAGCTTTCAGAGGATGCTGTATTTTAAAGAGGAAATCAAGTTGGGATAATAATTGCCAAACTGCTAGAACTTCTCATTGCTCTGAGAAGGTGTTGGGGGGAAATTACACCCCAGGTAAAACAGATAGTTGTTGATAAACCAACAGAAACCGCTACTGTAGAGTAGATAAGAGGCACAGATATTGATAATATAGAAAAAAATCCAACCCATTCTCCCCAATGGCCTCTTTTCTATCCATTAGGATTTGAAACGTACCTCTTTGTAGCTGAAGCCCAGATAACAGCATGTCTGAAAAAGAAAAAAGCATATTTAGCATCACACCATCATGCCTATAACCTGTTGGATAACACAAGAACCTTCTTTAACTCCAGGCAGCTGTACCTCTGATAGCTTCTAGGAAGGAACCCAGACCACACAATTGACAAAGACCTGTCAAGGAGCCATCTTAGCTGCTTGAGTTCATTTGAAGCAGAAAATTCAGGACCATTTGAGCAGTAATTTTAAAAAGGAGCAACTGCAATTTTGTGTTGCTTTGGCAGAAACAGGGAAATAAAAGCTCCTGTTTGTTAGCCCTGAAATCTCCCCTTTCTGCTAATGTTAGGGCTGACCCGGGCCTTTCCCACACTATTTTTAACCAATGAAATGCCAGGGGCAAGATCCAGGGCGCTGTTCTTAATCACTACCTCGGATACCCTCTAGAAAGGAACTTAGTTCATCAAAGTCCCAAATCTTCCACTTCAGGGAAGGAACAAAACCCATAATATTTTTTGCCATTACTTCAGTCTCACACCTAGTGGAGGAAATAAAAAAAGAAAGTGACTATGTCTAGCCCTTCAATTCCAGAAGCTTATTGAAAAGTCAGATCTACCATCTTGGAGACAAATCTTCCCACCATCACCCACTGAAATACAGAGTCTTGCTTGGAGGGAGAGTAGCAACGTCCACAGGACTTGGCAATCATGGGATCCTTCACAGCCCATGCAAGCATTTCCACTAATCCACAGAAGCAGCTCTAAGAGGAGGGCGTAGGAGGATAAACATAACATTTCTATCTTTCCTCTCCTTCCTTAAGAGCTACAAAAATATTGCCCTGAATACAGAATCAAGACCTTAAGCATTTTTGAGAGAGTAACATTGAAGCACGATATAATATAAAGTACAGAATTAGGCTAGATATTTTCCTAATGAAAATAAAATATGTATCTTTCGAGAAATGCTGTCAAATAAGTGTTAAAATATGTATGCGTTACACATACATAAACATTTTCGCTCTCTCTATATATACACATGCACAAACATGAAATTCCTTGGTTCCGTATGTGTGTACTATTAATGCGGACTTTGAAGAAACAGGATAGAAACAATATTGACTGTTCTGAACTTTGGTGTTAGAGAACTCCTGAGAATATCATGGAGAGCCAAAAAAAAAAAGCAAACAAATGGATCACCCAATAAATCCACCCAGAGTTATCACTCAAGAGACAAAAGACCAGGATCACATTATTCCACTTCAGATACCTTATATGTGAAGATCTAGTTCCCTAGAGAAGTCTGTAACCCTTGGAAAGGTAGAAGGAAAGAGAAGAAGAGGAGGACCAGTAGCAAGGGGGATGGACTCAGTTACAGCAGCAATGGGTGGACTGTTGAAAGACACTAAAGGACCAGGCTGGGGGCAGATCCTTCTGGAGAAAATCTATCTATGTGGCCTCTAAGAGTCAACACCAACTTGATGGCACGTAATTAAATCAATGCTATGAATGATCAGGTCTTGTGTAGTGCGAGAACTTTGTACAGTTCAATTACCTGGAGTTGAACTTGCAGAAACATGGTAAATATTTAAAAATGGGTCAATGCTATCCTTGGAGATATAAGGCAACATTATTACAAAAGACACTCTCTCCAAAATACTGAGTCTCAAATTAGGAGCATGGTTTTAAATTATCTTCAGTTGGATGGGCACGACTGAAGAGTTATCCTGGCATTATGAAAAGTTTTACTCACCTCTGCAAGATGCTTCCAAGACACTGCAGGGAAAAAATAAATATTGAAATTGGTCCAGCAGAGTAGAGTTAACACTTTTCCAACCACCAGTTAACTGACACTTCCCAAGAAGCATCCAACCATCAACCAATCCCACGGAATTTAAATTCCATATGGACTATAAACCCTGCAAAACAATCTCCAGTTCTGAAATGTTGTGCTGAAGCTGCAATGGAAACCAAGAAAAAACATCTCCAAAAACTGATCTCTTCTTCAGTATTGAACTCCCAAACCCTGGAGAACCCCAAATAGAAGTATGTACAACAAACTTGGGTCACTATTTTCCCAAGAAATCCTGTGTTTTGGAGCATGACCAAAGAGCCCACAAAGCCCTTGTGACAATCATAACAATTATTCTGCCTGCAGACTGATTGGCAACTCCTGTTCTTCCAGAACCAGGCCATACGTGCAGAAGTTCACTTGATGGCAGCTGACATTTCTCCTGCAGGTCTCCATGGAGACCCTCCAGGGAGGAGTCTTCTTCCGAGAGTTTGGCCAAGCACTCTTGTCTCTTAGCCAGAATCTCCTTCTCCACCTCTTCCATCTGGGCCAGCAGAATCTCTTCTTGTTGTACCATCAACTGACGTAGTTGTCTGAACTCAGCCACCACTTTCCCCTTTACTGTTTTTGCATGGTTCTAGAGCAAGAAAAGGAAAGGAAGAGAAAAGGGAAATAGCTAGGGTCAGGAACAAATGATCTTTCCAGCATCAAGAAACTATGAACTCCTTTGGAAGGGCACTTGGGGATCAAGTGAATATTGAACAAGGAAGGAATGTCCTCAAGATGTACAGAGACCCAACCTCAAAGTGCACTTTTGTGAACATTAGCTGTGGAACTAACTGTTGGGCATTCTACCTAGGAAAGTTTAGTTTCAGAGCTATGTTTGTCATTTATATTCAGCATTTCTAGATACTGATTCCAGATTAAGGAACCTTTTTCACTTCATCAATAATGATACTTACAAGCAAGTCTTGACTTTCTCTTTCTGCCTCTGCTTTGAAAGCTAGGAGCTTTTCTTTCCCCTCCTTTAGCATCTCCTGGCATTTCCAGATGCCAGATGCAGACAGCAGCTTGGTCATCCTGGCAGAAAAGTTTCAGAGGTTCCCCGTCCCTTTTGCAGCATTTCCCTCTGGCAACGTTCAGTTTCCCCTCCTCACTGAGCTCTTGGGCAATTAGCACCAATTTGGCCAGCTGCCAGTTGGCTTTGAAACTTTCAGGCTGCACCACAGCATTGCACTGAGGGCAGGCGGCCACCAGGGAGGACTCTGTCCCATGCCATCTGATGCAGCCTTGGCAGACGCTGTGGTCACAGTCCAGAGTCACAGGGTTGAGGAAGTAGTTGAAGCAGCTGGGACAAGTGGCCTCAATCTCAGCCTCTTCCAAGGGGAAGAGAACTTCCCTTCTTGGATCAGCCCACCCTGAGTTACTAACAGGAGATTCCCTTTAAAGATAAATAATTTTTGCAAAGATAAAGGAGAAGAGACTGCCTACTCCCCCCGCCCCAAAAAAAGAACCACAGGCTGCTCAGAAACAGGTAAGACCATATTGGGAGGCTGATATAGGCAACATGTCTATGGGAACTGCCCATTGGAGCCAACAGGAAGAGGGACGATCAGCCAATCAGGAAGTAAGCCCATTAGGTCTGCCTCCTCCTCCCCCCAAGCAAGGTTGATAGGGAAGATTCCCAGATTCATCTCAGCTAACTAACAATGACCTTCTGTTGGAATCAAGGGGGTTTCTCCAGTAAAGGTGCTGACTCACATCTCAGCGTGCCTCCTCTGAGGGATTCTGCACTGGTTTGGAAATAGGACGCAACTCCTGCCAGTGTCACGTCAGCTCCTTTACTCCAGGCTATACGCATGCCAGGTTCTAAAGCTCTGCAGTCAAACCAGCTTAGATCAGTCCTCTGGCTACCATGGCAAACAACCAGGATTTAAGTATTGTCAAAAGATCTTAGTTACCAGAATGCTGGTTACTTTCATTGTAAAGAACAGCATGCATGTCCATTAAGTTATTCTGGCATAGTATAGGAGTTTGCCCTTATCTTCTCCTATGATGTCCCCCCCACCCCCCAGTTTCCTACTTATTCTAAAGCCCTGGGGTCTTCTGGCACTCTCCCATCCAAATTCTCAGCACACCACCCAACCTTGCTTAACTTCCAAGCCCAGACAAAATTGCTGAAGGATTGC